CTATTAGCAGATTTTACACATCCGAGGGATAACTCCCTGGTATGTACCTAATTATAAATTATTCATTATGTAAATAGTTTACGAATCTTTCAGAAGTACTTTTTTGTTTTTTTAAGGATTTTTAAAACTCACGTCAATGACCAGTTTTTGTGATCAAATTATCAGACGAAATAACCTTCTTGTGTACCTAATGGGTGTACGGCTGAAAACGTCGCTACCAGGGAAATAATCCTGCTAATAAATAATTAAATCTCTTTATTATAAGCCTCATACCCTTCAGTTGGTGTATCTTATAAGTTACACTATAATCTTAAACATCCTAATTTAACTCGTATTGAACAACCTTTTAAACTTAACCTAGTGACAAATTTAAGCTTAATGTGTATATATTGGTTTTTAATGTTATTGAAAAGTTTACATTTACGCAATTTCTTGGAGATTTTTTTAACTTCAACTCACACTTTAACTTAAAGGTTATTCATATTTCTCAGTAATACAACAATGCTCTTGCGAGACATCATACTCGTTAAGCTTATATATATATATATATATGGTTCATTCTATTACACATTATATCTTATATATATATTTATGGCTCATTCTCTTACACATTATATCTTATATATATGTTTCATTATCTTACACATTATATCTTATATATATATATGTTTCATTCTCTTACACATTATATCTTATATATATATATATGTTTCATTATCTTACACATTATATCTTATTTTGCACTTGAATGTACTGGATGGAAATTTTTAGATTTTGAAAAGAATGAAAAATTTAAAATGAGCAAAATATAATAAAAAGTTTATCAAGATGTCACGTGTTACATTGTGTTAAACTGATCTTACCATTCTATTTCCTGCAATCCATAAAACAGTTGCCTTAAAGCCTCCCCCCTAACTACTTCTTAATTATTAAGTGTAAACAAATAGCTTGTTCAATTGCAACTCATAAATTTAGTTTTGAAGGTCAGTTGATAACAATACAAATATCACTGCAGCAACTAAAACGATCAATGAACGTAAATACTACAAAGAAATAAACAGTATACGTTGACAGCGAAGTAGTATTGTTTAATATTATTCAGTAGTCCAAAAATGTGCATTCACCTACAAGTCATGTTAAAATTCACTGGATATATGTAGAAAATATATTTTTCGATATCTTAAAGAAATATTTCTCTGTTGTTTACGGTTTACCAAAAAAGCTAGCTTAATACTATTTTTCTATTTCCTCAGCAAACTATGATCCTCATGAAATGGCTTAGTTTAGCCCTAAAATTACCGACCTATTTCTATACTGTTCAATACCGTTAAGGTCAACTTATTATTGTGTACTATTGAGTAATTTTATAATTCTGCCTGCTAAAATTCTCAGCGTAAAAAACTGACAAAAATATAAGGTAAAAGCAGTCATTTTCTATGTAAAATAAATAGGAAACCCCAACAATAATCACTGGGATTACTTTCAATATGGATGATATTTTTATCTTTTTTGTGTGTGAACCATACGTTTTTAGGAATCCGTAATCGACAATATCATGGGCCCAGAAACATCATGGTACACAGATAGTTTAGAAAAGTGCGATATTTCATTTCAAGAGAATAAGCAGATGAACATAAAAAATTAGATGAAATTATTAGGACATATTTTGTCTTTATAATAAAAAAAAATCGCACAGCCTCAAACTTATTTCATTCCAAAGTAGGTGGGAGATGTGGAAACTTGCTGTAACAGTAACATCCGTTTCCGAAACATCAGAAAAAAAGGAAATGGATGAAGCGGAAACGTAAATTTGATGTGAAACTTTCCTTATAATTTTATACGTAAAATTCCTTTAAAATATGAAGAAAGTTTTTGTTGCACGGTTGGACGAAGTGACTAGATATAATTAAGACCCTTAGCGCTTTTTAACACACACAAAAAGGTAGGATTTAAATCTTCATTACAAATGAAATTATATTATTTATTAAGCTTCAGTGAAAAATACTCGAATAATAATAAAAATGAGTTCATACTACATGTATTACACACTGAAGCTGACAGGCCTTATCTAGGAATGCCAGCTGTGTATGGAAGTAATTGCATTCCCAGGAAGATTATAAGAACCTCACAACAAAGCACCAGTTTATCGGTTTGAGTGTGTGTGTGTGTGCTGTATAAATAAAACTCCAATGTTAGCCCACATATTATTTCGTTTTCACTTTTATAAAATCTAAGAGCTTGCTAGGCATCTGGACCTTCGTAAGAATCCCACCCCCGAAAAAAAATTAAATCTCAAATGGTATTGCTAGCTTATTGTGAAAACTCGACACTATTAAGATATTCAGTGTAATATATAAAACCTGATTAAATAAGGAGGAGTTCAATTATCATGTCTAGAAAGGCAGATTTATTATTGAGTGTTACTTAAACAAGAGGGTCTTTACCATGTTGTATGTACTGTTAATATGAAAACACCTTTGGAAAAACATCCCATTTATTATTATTAATTACACCGAAGTACTGTCATAAATAACTTAATGTTTGAAGCAGTATTGAAATTTCAAACAAACAAAAACACAGCTAAATTGAATCATGAAAAGTTGTGGAACATATTTACTTCCGATATTCTTAGAACGGTATTTCAAAAGGTCCATATTTTCATGTGTTCTCTTCTATTAAAACTTTAATTTTGAACAGCAAAAGGTGGTTCAAGTTTATAATAAACAATGGCGTAAAAATTTGTAAGTAAATAGAACATATATTAACATAAACAGATTCTTGTACTTTGGGCATAGCTTAGCAGTACTTAAAATAAGTTCTATCTATGAATAGCACTGATATCAAAAAGTATTCTGTTATTGTATTGTTAACAGCAGGCATTTAGGAAATATGTGGTTTGTGGCAGAATTGAGAGTTTATTTACAAATTGCAGTATTTTCTAACAATATTGATTATTGCTCTAAGTTGTGAATATTTTACAAGAAAAATATCAGATTTACGCAAAAAACAAATAATAAAGACTATGAAGTGATAAGTGTAACAATGATTTCTATCCATCTGTATATATCATCGTTCATATATCATAGCATGAAAACCTCGAATAGCTGTAGAGAAACCATGGAAACATTGTGTCACGGGTACTTTCCTCTATACTAAAGCTCAATTTGTGGTATACATGTACGTATAAGTTCTGTTGTATAAAAAGTAAAGTATATGAATTTCACAATAAAGCCTTACTTCTTCTCTCAGAATGCCTCATGTGCTCTGTTAGTGTGCAACGATGATTTTCAATTAAATAATCCAGAAGCCCTGTAACAAATATGTGGAATTTATCAAGCCTGGATTACATTCAGTAGTATCGATACTTCCGTGTGATACATTAGATACATGTCGTTCATGTTCAGTCTTTGTTGTCAGTTCAAGTGTAATATTACAAGGATTTGTTCGAAAAGTATGTAACTTTAAAGCTACGTTTTATAACGAAGTTCTGAGGATTTGGAAAAAAGTTGAAGACACACAGCATTTTTCGTATGTTTTGTAGAAACAACAACAAAGTGTGAGGTAGATCAAATATTTTATGCTCTAAGAACTTTACTTTTACAGGATTTCACTTCAACAAGAGTTATGCGTCTTACAACTGTCTATAACTGAAACCATTGCCAATATATATAGTTTTATTACCATCATCGCCGCAAATGTATTCTCTCTTCGGGGTTTTAACACATGTTCTATATATGTTAATATTAAAATATTTACCCAATTGTAAATTATTATGAGACGACAATACCTGAATCTGTTATATAGACTTTTTCATTTTTAAATGTATGAAATATCGAACCATTGTAAGTAATTCCGCAACATAAGAAACAATGTGTAGATTTAAATACATTTAACCATCATTCAGCAGTATTTTAAACGCACGATAAACGTTTTTACACATTTACTGTAATCACTTTTTAAATTATGTCAAATAAAGTATCCGGGGCATAACTAAATGAACGTCTACTTCCTTGAAACAGGAAGTCAGAAAGTGAAAATGTTGACTGATAAGGAGCATATATATACTACGCGTTTTAAATCCAGAACCTCAGTTAAGGTATTTTCAATGAGCCCTCTATTTAACGTTCAGCTTCTCTATAATTTATAGCTGTTATAAATGTGATTAGTGTTTCTGGAATAATTTCAATTCAATATTGCAAATCACATTACCTAACATGAGCAGGATAATTTACATATGTAAAAATATAGCTATGATATATGTTCTTTACGTTAGTAATCTAATATGGAATGTATAATGTTTACAGAAAATAATTTCAGTTTGATAAAGTTGCCTAAACCTCATTTTGTTCGCATAACACGCTGGTGAGAAATTTCTGCTCAATGAAAGTTAGCTTTCAAAACACTTACTTATAGAAGACTTGAGTCAGATTAGCATCAAAATAGCATTTATTTATAGATTAACTAGAGCTTCATTGTGTAAGTTAAGCTTCATTGTGTAACAGAGTAGCTTGAAATTTATTTTTCGACTTTGAACACTGTTATAGGACAACCGATAATCGTCAAGTATTGTATTTTTTAATTTGATATCAAACTCTTTCTTTGCCAACTATCAAAATAACATATTTGTGGAAGTTGATGATATGATTCAGAAATGTTTAAGTCAGTGAAGTACTTTAATCTCAAAGACTAAATGAACCAATCAGAACATAAAATTTGAGGACTGAGCTCCAAGTAGATCTGAGCCACTAATGTAAAGTTGTAATTTTTATAGTTTTTCTGTCTTTGTGACAGGCACGTAGTAGATAAAAGAATGAAAAGAAAAAAAGATGTTGGGAGGAACGCCATTTATACACATTGCTTGAATACGAGCTGTTAGTACATATACATAATATATTGTGTTTTTTTGAAAAATGGTATGGTGCTAATTTAATCATATATTTGATATTTTAAGAATGTTATTAAAAACTTTTCCATAAATGCATATATATATATATATCCAGGTCCTCCCACTTTGCTGACGAAATATAATCCTAAAGAACTTCGAGTAAGAGCCGGATCCAAGACCCACCTCCACTGTTTCGTGAATGGAGTAAAAGACTCTCTGTTCTTCGAATGGTCTAAGGATAATCAGCCTATAGATGTCGTGAGAAAAAGCCGTTTCAGGATGTCCAGAAGTGGGACTCTCAAGATTAAGCACACTATCCTCCAGGATACTGGGCACTACATCTGTAAGGCCATTAATGGGTTCGGCAGCGTGGAGAACTCTATATTCCTTTTCGTTTATGGTAAGAAATAAGCAAAGCAAAGTTTAGATTTAACATCTGGAGTGTTGTACATGACTTTTTGAAGAATTTTGTATATGATTCTTTATGAAAGCAAACTACGAGTATTATAAAGCAACCGTTGCCATTTGTGCGTTTTTGATTCTCTGTATACTCTCTTATTATCCATATACCTTCTTGATTTTTAAACTGGGCATTTCTGGTTTACACTTTAGTCAACAATTTAAGTGAATTTATACTGTATTCTCAACTACAGCCAGATTAAGAGTTTAAGACTTCGTAATTGGGACTTAAATGGCATCTTATGCGACCATTAAGCCAAGCGACCAAGTCCTGGCATTCTAAGGTTCATAAATGAAAATCTTTAAGTTAGAGCTTTCGCTAGAAAAACGACAACCACTTAAGGACCCTGTTGTCTACACGGTTGCTCCTAACCAAAAACCAAATAAACTGTCAGTTTTATGACGCTTCTGTAGCTGAAAGAGCGGAATACGTTCAATTACATATCGCGGTTTCTAACCTTTTAATCTGCACATTAAACGCTAGGCCATCCCAGCCTTCAGTAATATTAAAGCTTTACCAAGACGTAAACTTCTAAAATATCTGTTCAAATGAATTCATTAAAACTGTTTTACTATGGTGACATTTCATCTCTACTAGGATAGATATGTGATAATATCAAACCAAAAATAATATAAAGATTACAAAGGCATAATTATTAGAAACAAATTTTTCTTTGTAGAGAAAAGGCCGTATCTATTTACGTTTATTCCCCAATGGGACAACGGTAAGTTTACAGTCTTACAATGCTAAAATCCGGTGTTTGAATCCCAGCGGTGGAAACAGCAATTATGTAGCTTTGCTCTAAAAACAACCTACCAACTTATTAAGTTCAAAGTTTGACATTTTCAAAAAAATTAACGGTTTATATATAGTAGACAGTAATTTTTCATACCTGCGGGTTTTGGAATGGATAGTTTATCAAGGTGTAAATTAACACATGTAACATAGAACTTTCATATATATATGTGTTACAAGTTACTGCTTTTTTTCCGTGTTTGAAACAGCATTTTTTGGCTTATCAATTTCCGTACAAGCTCTTAGCTTTACATGATACACGTCCAGTTTTCCTGTACACGTCTTAATTCATCCCGTTTCTGCTAGATTATCCTTTACCGGAAATTATTTTTAGTGAACTCTAACAATTTTCCTCGGTAACGATCTGTCGTTAGTGACTACTTTTTTTTTCGTTTTTTTACGTTGATCACCAGCCCGTGTTTTTATACTTCAAGTCAGGTTTCTGGAAATTAACTTGAAGACTAATCATCAAACGAATTTTATTAATTATAATCTCATCTATTGTCTGAAATTTTCTTACCTATGGACTTGCATAATACTATGAAAAGTATATACTAAAACATAATGTTAATCATAATTTTTCGATATTTTCGTAATTAAATATTTGTTATTTACTGAAATGTGTGTATGTTTGCTAATACACAGTTTTAAAGTAGATGATAAGGTTTCACTTCTAATAGAAAAGGTTTTGGTATGAAAGAAGGGTTTAGACCATAAACGTTAAATCAAAACTGTAACTAAAATTGACTAGAATTCCGTAAATTACGATAATGTGAAAAACGTATTTCCTAATTATCAGATTATTGGACTTCGAAAACTATGATTAATCAGAAAATTAAAAAAGATCTATTTCAAAATTTAATATTTAGAGCTTTGTTTTTAAGAGGAAGATGTTACTGTAAATACTGCAATACTTCTACACGTGCAAACACACCTACTCACCTGATGACGAAATAAAATCGATGTTTCAGACAGCTAAAAGAAATAATAATACAGTACGGCAAACATACTTTTGTCTAGTCTAAACATCATGATTTCTATTTGACATTAGACATCCAACGTACATAAACTCTCTGTTTTTGAATTAATCAATATTTGAAATTTACAGAAGCTGACGAGGGAAAGAGAAAAGATACTTTGCCCAAACGAACCAATCAAAACTTGAAAATTGAAGGCTCAACTTCGAGTGAGTATATGTAGGGTCAGAAACACTATAGTCTGTTATTTTTTTTCTTGTTGTTAGTTATTGGAGGTGCTTTATTCCGTCGTGTTAGATAAGTAATGACTATAACGCTTTTTTTCTGTAATGTTTGAAAATGTAGAACTTCTCAAGCTTCAAAGGCTGCTGAGCCACGGTAATTGTCGCCACAAACTTTTGGGAACATTACGACAAGGGAAAAAGAGGAGCGTAAGATAAAACGACTGCCGTAACTCATATCCTGACAGTATGCTTTTAGCCAATACTTCGAACACGTTTAATTAAAACAGGAAGGTAATCGAAAGTTAAGAGCAGCTTCCTTGTCACTTGCTAAATATTCTGGGTAACCTCTGATAATAGAAAACTTAAATGTGTTTTTTGGTGTTAAGTAACATCGTTGTTACAGTATATGATCGTAAATTCCATCCTCTATGTGCAAATCAGTAAATTACTATTGTGAAAGCACTTATCAAAATTAAACATAAGCTTAAAATGTTGGTTTTTCGTTTACTTTTAGTCCCTCTTGAATGAAATATCATAACATCTGTTGATAAATTGTGATGTAACAAAGCAACAGTAAGTGATTTCCATTGTAGGTTTTCAACAGCAGCATTAGGAATCAGAATACTTTTTACGAAACTTGAAAGGTTCTTTATAATTTAGAAGTGCTAGAAACAACGACATACATAAACCAATGCTTTATTTATTCAAAAAACTCACTTTGCACCTGCACGAATCTGATTATAAAAGGTGTTATTATATCCATTGATTCCTTATATTACCAAAGCACTTTCACCTTTACCTGTAACTCGTTAACCATTTTTATTTCATATATACATAAATTCACTAGACAACTGAAAGTTATTAGTAATTTAGTAAGTTGACAAATCAAAAACCATTACTATAAAATACTGACAGTCACTCTCCTCAGATTATTTTATACAAATCAGACTTTCATGATCTGTTGAGAAACCTGAAATGCAAATAGTTGTTCAATCAACCTACCTCACAGATGAACATTTAAGGGTAGCTTAATATCGCTGATATTTAACTTAAATTTGAAATATGGTTACCAATAATAGCAACAGCCTTCTTATAGTGATGTTGTATACACAAAAAGATTGTTCCTAATGCTCTGAGGTATACTGAAAGAGCTGCTTCCAGGACTTCTTTAGTGTTTGGTTTCATCTGACAGGATGTGACGTGTCTCTCAGGAGCATCTCATTTGATTGGATTAAAGTTAGCATGCAGACCACTTCATTTGGTCAATAACTTCTTCTTCAAGTAATGTGTCGATCAGTTTATTGCTATATTATCCACTAGTTTGAAGTTATGATCAATAATTCACGAATAATCATAGGTTGTGCTCCCTACCATTCTGTATAATGTATAGGTCTAATAATGCTTATCCCTGGTGTCTGTTGCAGAGGGAGTAGTGAATCAAATAACAAGTTAGGCCGCTACATCATATTTTATTCACTAAAATTTACGTTTCGGTGAGAAAAATAAATTAACATTGCTTGTCCCTGCCACTCCACACTTCCACCATCATCATAAACGTCACATTCCTGCATGAAAATCAGGTTAAGTCTAGTTATATATTCTCTATAAATGAGTATATGCCTGTCACCTGTCTACAAGGTATATTTCTACCCAGCTGTAAAAATAGTATTGCTCCAAGTGTCGTTATTCTACCGGATGTAATCTTGACACCATTGCAAATGATCTGTTTTTTTATCTTGTTGTGAGCACAATGTACCTCATTGACATTTAGCATACCAACTTACCTTAAGAAATCTGTTTGTAACAATATGTACACATGTCATAGGTTCCAGCTGCGACTTAGAACATATGAATCTATCTCGAAGCAGGTAGTTAACAATTGCAATTAGCCAGAGTTGAGAAATGGAGGAAGTATGCTTGAGCTGGGGATGATAATCTGCCTTTTGGAGATGTCTGAACAAGTATAGCATTGTTTTGTAACTAGCTCCATATGCTGCTAATAACATTTTGAGACACTTGTAGCTAATTAACAACAATTTCTGTGATTGACAGGCTTCCATTTGCATAATGACTATTCACATGTGTGAAACATCCAGATATCTTTTTTGAGGTCTAGCTATGCTTTATTAGCAATTTGAAACATTTTAAACTCTATGATTCCAAGTGGCACTTGCAAAATAAAATAAAATAACTTGTATATAACAACATAGCATAAGATGCTCGATTTGCATAGCAATAAATGGAAAAAATTAACTGACAATATAATAGTTATTTATACCTTGTCATAGCTATGATATCACAAGTCCTGCTTATCCTGTAACTGTTTTGGGCAGCTCATGTGTGTATACCTAAATATAGAAATAATTACACAAGTTTTACTTAACACATAAACCAAAGCTGGTATTTAAAAAATAACTTTCTTCTAATCGTAAATAGCACGTTAAAAATACCAACAAATTCTGGAAACTTGAAATAATTGAAATATCACAATCTCTGAACCCATATCATAAGTGTAATTACGAAAATGTGATTATCTTCATTTGTTAGTTGCATATAGTAATATGTGAAGTTGTATTTACATTTCAAAATTAAGCAAAGTAAGTCACCACTTTGTCAATAATATGTTTCTTCATTCTTCTTTAAATGAGACAATCCAAGACTGCTTTTAGCACTTTGAGTTGAAACATGGCTTGTATGAGCTCTGCATGATGCTATTTAACCAGTACAACAAACCCACCACTTTCGAGAAACCAATGGAGCTTACACTGAGGGGGCTGCGATGAAAGAGATGCCTGGTCTATGTTGACAAAGTTTTGGTGTTTGGTTGCACTTTAAAGTCTGCAGTTGAGAACCTGAGGATGATATTCAAACAGACAAATAAAGTAGGCTTGAAACAGAAACCAGGAAATTGCTTGCTCAAGCGCACAAAAGTGGAATTTCTCGGTACCATTGTAGATAGAGATTGGGTCTCCACAACCCTGCTAAGATATCAACAGTAAGAGACTGGCATCAATCTGTAAGCAAGTGGAAAGATCACAGTTTATGGCCAACTTCGTCTAAATAACAGCATTGTTGTCTGCTCTCACTAAAGCTCAGACATATTTTGGATGGGACAAATAATTCAATTAAGCACTCCAATCCCTAAAGTTTGCTTTAATGAATGTTCCAGTGCTAGCATATCTATGACGAGACAGCGAGTTCTTATTGGACATCAATTCCAGTCACAATGAAATTGGGACAGTATTATTGCAGATGCAGGATGCAGTAGAATGCATAGTCACATACACAGCCTTCGCATTTAGTTTTTTCTGTAAACACACACACACATATATATATAGAGAGAGAAGTAGATAGATATATCTAAGTAGATTGTATATATAATGTGTACTATGTAATTCAATACTAAAGGGATTTTATATACATTATTCTATATTTTTCATGGTATTTTTGTATTAATTGTATCGTAGGAGGTTCACACTGCACGTGGACCATGCATTGCTGAAATGATTAATAAGACTTTTCTGTTCATAGAATGTCCTGATACAGGACAGTATGTGGGAGGCAAAAACCTTTCCACTATAGCAATGTCATGCCATGAAGCAGGAGATTCTGCTAGCATATGAATGTCATGATTAGCACTTTGGAAATTGTAGAAAGACTAACTGAAGGACCCAGATCTAGCATGAGTGCTCCTTGTCATGCAGCAGAGTAACGACTGCCTGACACAAATATAAAAATGTAGCATGGATGCACATTACCTATGGCATTTGTATAGTCAGCTATGAGTGCAAAAAAGTGTGCTCTACCAATCATAATATACTAATGGGCCATGGTTCTCTGACTGTACTGCAGCTAGTAGTTCACAGAGCTCTAAGGCAAACCTTCTCTAGACTTTGCACACTCGAAAGAATAAAGCACACCAATGTATTTCACACTTATGCTAAAATTCAGTGGCTCTTCTAACCACATTAAAGTCGAGATGTTTAGTGCTTGTTTGAATATTTTATGGTATGTGTCACCCGGAAAAAGAACTAGCCGAGACAAGGTAAACTCAAGAGAGAATTGCCTGACCTCCTCTGATAGCCCTGGATATTAGAGATCCACTCCCAGAGACTGAGAGAGGTTATTGGAACATATTCAGTACCACTGACTACTTCAAAAAGTAAAGACGAGGCTTATTCATTGGTAAATACACTGACAAAGTTCACCACTAATGTGTCAGTGGAGCACTGGATAGCATGGTTTGAAGCACTGAAAGAGGTCCACGTGGACTAGGGAGCCAGTTTAAACAGCCAATAGTTTTCTGAGGTGTATAAAGTATTGGGTGTAGTGAAGATATGCACTTCACCTTATCACCCCAGTCAGATGGTTTAGAATAATGGATAACATAAACTACTAAACATATGCTTGCCAGGTTTATTAATACTAGTCAAACTGACGAGTATAAACACTTGCATACAGAGCAACTGAACAGAGGACTGAAGGCTGTTCACCAAACATGCTCACGTTTCGGCAATAAATACTACTCCTTGTTGATGTGACATGTGGCCCTCCCCACAAAGCAGCCATCTCATAATGTCAACAGGAACATGTGGAGTAGTTACAGCCTATAATATTCCGTGTGCATGTGTTTGCATGGAGACAACTATGAAAAGTCACTGGATTCAAGAAAAATGGATATGACAAGATGGCAAAGAATGGATGAACCACTGTGGATATTGTGTTTAGTTGTGGTACGTGCGAGCAGTATGGAAGCAGTTTGGATTTGGTTGGACCAATCTATAACTCATACTCCAGCATATTGATCCATCAATATGCGAGTTACAATGGATGAAAGATGTTCAAAAGTATGTGTATCATGGCAAGACCATGCATCCACACATCAAAGGTGAGCCTCTTGTACACTGGCTTGACCGAGAGTCTGAGGTTGAGATTGCAGAGTCAGAGGAGAATTAGGATGATGTCTCAACTCAAATTATACCATCTCACTTGCTGAGGGAGAAATATCTGAAAATAGTTATCTGATTGTCCATGATGAGCCAGAAGAAAAAGACAGCTCTAACATTTGTCTGAGCTGCCATTGCTAACCTACCAATTAATATCAGTAGGACTGATCAATCACCACTTGCTAGGATACTTGCTTATTAGCATGATCACTGACAGAAAGTAAAATATGTTCCTTACTTTTGGATGGTACCATAGGTATGATCACCACTCAATTACCAAAAGTTAAGCAGATCGATTAAATAGATATAATACCTAGTACCTCAACAATTTGCACAGCTAAATATGGTGGTAGCTAGAAGTTCAAAAATTCAGTTTAAAGGGCTTTGTAACTCTTGCTTTCTGAGGTATCAGGTGATATTTCATGGTTTTATGTAAGCATTATATTTTGTGATTGCTATTTGACTTACTTCGTAAACTAGGATGGTCATTTGATTGACAAAATGAGATAGCGAAAAGTTTTTCTTTCCAAATCACTAACTTAATTTTCTGATGCAAAATATCTTCCAATATTTTGAGAGAATAACTGATTTGATCCAGCTGAGTGCTACAGAGCAAACCACCTAATACTCTTTAGATTTTTCCCTATATACCTGGAAAGTAGACTAATTCTATATGCAGTGAGGGTGTTGCATTTCCCCTGAGTTTTAACTGAAAAGACTTAGTTCAGCTGAATTCTGCCAGTTATTGTTTATTTCATGGAATAAAAAGCTAGTTGAGTCTGATTGCTTCTAGATGGCAAATTCCTACTGAGACAGCTTCAGAAAATAACCCGAGAAGATTGCTAAAGTATTTTACGTAGAAGAAATGTGCATTCTTCTATATGCTACTAGAGTATGTGACAGTATGTAATGGCGACATATGTATATAGTGTAGTTATCTCATCTGAACTTTTTACCAATGAAATTCATCTAACCCAGACTTTTCTAGATAAGGTTGAATCCTTGATGCTTTTGGCTATCTTGTTATTCACTAGCCAATGGTTATCCATTCATCATTGCCAAATATATTCCCAAAGAATTACTTGCTCAGTGATGGATCACAAGTATGATAGAAGGCTAATGTGAGGAGACACCAATTTAGCTGGAGACATTAGCCAAAGCAGACCAGCTAATAGCCAGCTTCTCTAACACCCAACCAGTGAAGCAGAAGCCAGATGTCAAACCCAAGGTCCATCAAAATCAGAGGCTTTATGGCAAGTGTGTACTCAAAAATTCTATCATCAAGAATTTACATTGTTACTTTTTGATATAAGCTATGCGCATATGCCTTACATATTAGTTTTTTCCCTGTAAACATATATATATGCATATAGATAAATGTTTTAAGTAACTGTTCTGTTTTATATACGTGAACCATTATCTTGACTGTGTTTTGCCTTTGTTTGAGTTAAATGGTCTTCCTTTTACGTGCTTGGATTATGTTGCTTATATTAAATGGTTTGGGTCATATTAATGATTTATAATGAAGAGTTATTGTTGTATTTTAATAGATCACCTTTTCATTTATTGTTCTTACGTGTAAATGTGTTAGACTACCTCCTTTAAATGGGGTAGATAATCTTTGTTAAATATTTTTTTCTCGATATATTATTTTCTGTGTTAAATGGCAATTCTTTTATATCTGTACTTGCATTCTTCATTAAATGTTATTTCTTTTTGTATTATACAATTCAATACTAAAAGTTTTTTATGTATATATTTAAGAGTTTTTCATGGTATTTTTCTATTAACTGTCTAAAGGTATTTTAATGTATTATCATTATTAATGTGTAAAAAGGTGTTTATTGTTCTTATTATTATTCTCTTATTTAATTACATATTATATTCTGTTCATTGATAATAAGTTTTCAGTGTACTTATATAATTTTATTACCGTACTGGCCCGATTATAGGGTGACACCCAGAAACCATGTGAAAGAAAAAAAATTGAATGTCATAACATCCTTTTTTAGGTCCGCAAAATCAATACTCTAACTGAACAGTCTGCAGATGGATTAGTTGCAAGAATTAGTGATGACCTTCAGCGAATATCTGGCACTAATGCGTAGACGGATGCTATCTGGACATTCAGGAATACCATAGGCTAGAGTACGGGGAAGGGGCATGTGGTCGGCCACGATTATAAAGCGACTATGAATTTTACAGCCTAATTATTAATCAAAAACATTGCCTTATAATCGGGCCAATACGTTAATTACCAAAAATTTCAATTTGATATTAACCTATTAATGAAGTTAGTGTTTTTTGGATATTTTTGTGTTGTTTTATATTTTAAACGATCAATAAAAGATTTTTGATGCATTAATTGCAATCTTTGTTTGAGGATTGTGCCATTCGTGTTACATGTGATTTTTCATAGAAACAAAAAAAGTTAACATGCTCCTTGACCATATCGCAATGTAAAGTTAAATGATTTTAAAGTTAAGTTTAATTGTTGGCTTGAAGACAAGCCTGAAGCAGATGTTGGAAGGAAACTGTGGTATGCAGGCATACCATGTACTTTCTGCCTTCTTATTTTGATGTAGCAATTCTCAAAATGTTTCATTTAGGTTGAATCTATGGAGTTATTACATAACACATGGTCCACAAAACAGCTGTTTTCATTCCAGTCAGCTTTGTTCCTCTGTTGTCCTCCAAAAATAATATCTTCTCCATCCACTAGGATATTGCTGTAACAGTGCATGTTGCGCAAGAAGGTAAATGACAGCAATGTTTTTCACTGGTTAACTAGCCGATGTGTAGAGGTTATGGCATTCACTATATTGAATGAGATCAACCAGACACATGGTTAGTGCTAGTCGTTATGGGTAAATCTGATATTTCCCGTTAACTATGAACGTTGAATCCATAGAGTTCTACGAGGTTTATAACGTGAGCCAATTGGTAGGAAGAAATCTCAAGGGAAGAAAACCTTCTGATTGATTCACTTGGAAGGTGCCTGTCCTGTGTTTTACATAAGTAAGCACACTGTTTGTTTGTTTTTGTCTTCGATATAAATTAAGATTGCTCTTCATATTCACTTTGTTTATTTTCCTACCTTAAATCTCAGTCGGTTTACCTAAACTCAGACTTACTCTGTAATTATCCTAATCAATCTTCCTGTTATAAAACACATATACCTGCCTATCACTGTTTTTGTAAATAGTCTAAAAATACTACACTTGTAAAAATCATATCTTTGAGAAGTTTTCATTATTCAACTGCCAAAAAAAAACGCCATATCATCCAAAATAAACATTATATCAATAAGTATACATTATAATTTTTTATAATATAATTGAAACATTTACAATTATTTAAAACAAAATTCCTGGTTCATTGTGTATATAAACTAAAAAGTAATACTTATTCAAATCTGAGTTTATTTTTGCATATTAAACTTTAAGTATTTGGGACAAGGAAGTTTGTTAATTACACAAGACCGGTTGATTTTTATGTATATTTCAGGTCCCAAAATGAAAAAGCTAGAAATACCAGGAACATATCCAATAAATACAACAGTTGAACATGGAAAAACAGCTATATTTCAATGTCGAGTACGGAGTTCAACGACTCCACACATTCAGGTTGGTTTATCGAAATTACTGACTTTACATTTAAACTGCAGTAAAAGCTAAAGTGACTTCTTAAAACGCTGGTTATGGTGTGGTTATGTTCGAAATCCTAAATTATCTTGTTTTACATAACTATCCTTTTTGATTTTCAAGTGGCTAAAAAAAGTAGCTCAAACGGACGCTGAAAATAGCAACGTTGTCAAAATAGACGGAAACAGTTTCCGGATTCTCAACTCATCAGAAGTTTTCCATAAGACGGATGGACTATTTCTGCACAAGCTACAGATTTCCGAAGCTCAAGAATCAGATACAGGACAGTATGTTTGTTTAGGGACTAATACCCTGGGTTACAGCTACAGATCCGCTTTCCTTAATGTCATTCCAAGTAAGTAAGGCTAACTTACCGTATTTTTCGGAATATAAGACATACTTTTATTTTGAAGACAAAGTTTTTGGGGAAAAGCTACAGTCGCATTCGAAAGATTTTTATTGAACAAAAATTCAATTTTATACTTTAAAAATTAGTATATGTTGTTCTTAACACAAAAGAGCTCAAAACATCAAAATAAGAAAATACCGTAAATCAAAAAAAGGTTTACTGTTATCTTGTTTGGTTCAAAACCTACAAAATCTTCATTGCTTTCACTGTAATTTATTTTTTTATTATTTAGGGAGCATTATAAATAGTTATGTTTTTAAAAGAAAAATAAAACTACTATTGTTATAAATGACACATATATATTATTCATAGCTTCGTTGTATAGGACGCAAGCAGATTTTGACATCAAATTTTGGGGTAAAAAAGTGCGTCTTATACACCGAAAAATACGGTAATCGCATTTTTTCTTTAACTAGATAAACTAATATCACCTTTATACTTAGTTACTTACACATGTGATAATCACATTTTTAATTTGTCAGTTAAATAACTAACTTAATATATATTCATTATAAATAATCATGATACAAGTATTAATCAACAAAAGAATGATATTAAGGATACGTTGCTCAGTAAATTTACAAAATTGGTCAATTAAAATTAACTAACTAAAGCTATTCATTCGTACACTTTATCTAACTAGTGTTCATATGGAGTACATTAAATGACTTGTAGCTGTATAAGAAGGAATAAATGATGTTATATAGCAATCTATGAGCTCATTACTAATAAAAGCTCGTTCCGTGTTCTTCTCCTCTACTAGTTATAAAACTAATATTCTGGAGATAGTTAGAGAGTTCTCTTCAAAATTTTATAATACTTCCTTTAATTTTCAAAACAGCTTTTATGATTTTATCTTCACTACCAAGAACTAGATTACTTGTATCCTGAATAGAGTCACAAAAATGTTGACAGTAATTAAACTATACTTTCCTGGAAAAAAGGAACAAAATGAGTATATCTTTGCTTTATGTTCTGTTGTAAGCCATAAATCTCGAATTTGACATTTTTAATTTTCCTTTGAATTTAATGCCACTTATTTATGCAATTTAGTTAGTTTGTTTTGAATTTCGCGCAAAGCTACACGAGGGATATATGCGCTAGCCGTCCCTAATTTAGCAGTGTAAGACTAGAGGGAAGGCAGCTAGTCATCACCACCCCCCGTCAACTGTTGGGCTACTCTTTTTACCAACGAATAGTGGGAATGCCGACACATAATAACGTCCCCACAGCAAGAATGTTTGGTGTGACGGAGATTCGAACCCTCGACCCTCAGATTGCGAATCCAGCGCCCTAACCACCTGGCCATGCCGGGCCCTGCAATTTAGTAAATTACTATTTTGGTTAAGTCTGTTGTAAGCACAATAGCTTAAAGATTTGAATAATGTTTATTTTTTGGATAATTTTGGTTTTTCAACAAGATACACCAACATATTTTTCAATAAAGGATATAAATATTAAACTTAATAGTGAATAATTAAAAACAAGAATTATAAGATAACAGAAAACCATGTAAATATGGAGTTGTTATAAATAAATTCGATAATAATGGGCATTTCAAATGAAGAACTAATGAAAATCTTGACAATGATAGATGGCAGATGAATCTATTTCCACCGTGTATACTATTTCTTTTATATTTATATTAATCTCTTGCTGAACAAAATCTCAGTTTCATGACTCGAAATGAATTATTATAATTTATCTTAGCATTCTGAGATTAAATAATAAAATAGCTTTAATTATTTATTATTGCTAGAACCAAAAACGTACGAGATCAGAAACGCAGAACAAAACGGAAAATGGACTGAAAGACCTAACATCTTGCTGATTTCTTTGCCAATTTCCACAGGATTGGTAATTGTTGTTTTCTTAGCTATACTGATGATTTACCGTCGACGTAAACAAACAAGAACAGCCAAATCCAAGAAAAAAAATGGAAAATCTAAGGGTGTTTTGAAAGAAAGCCAACAAGAACTATCGGACAAAGAAAACGATGTGTTTTGTCACTTGAAGAACAGTTCTGGAACACTTACGGCCCCTGATCAGATGGCATCAGGAGATCATAATAAGAAGTGCCAGGGCCTGACACTGACTACATTTACTGACGGAGCATCAACTGTGTTACTAAAGTCTGATTTTGTAGCCTCTCAGCACGCGATTCCAGCAGAGACTGTGATTCGTGGTGAATCGGTGATGACCAGGCTATGCAGTAGCCCACCGACACCTCTACCATTAGATGAAGAGGCATTATACGTTCCAATTGACACCGTTTGATTAGGTAAAACGCCCTTTAATGAGTAAGAAAGCACTCAGACTAACGAAGTTTGGAAAATGAATAAGTAAAGACATTCTGACCATCGCTCTTTTCGTGTTCTGTTGTTGTTGTTGTTTGTTTGTTTTTTACATTTTTATGGCACATCTCTTTTGTAAAGGATAACCACGTTACTAAACAAAACACGAGATTATATTATCATTATTTCCCTAGATTTATGTAAGTGTATCTTTATGAAGTTTGCCTCTATAGTTATCTGTAACTAAATGAGTATTTGGAGTAAAATCCATCTCAAAATACTAAAGTGCTTTTATGAGTCCTCATCTTTTAGTTGGTAGTGTATATTTAATCAGAAACAAAGACCATGGAAAACATTATATATTACCCACATATCAGCGAAACGAGTGTTTAACAGTACACTGAGTGGTCACAAGTAAATAGACTGATTTATGTCATTTAACTGATTTATGCTACCTAATTTGTGTTCACAGAGCACTACATAAATGAAAATGGTCCGCACACTAATTATCTTGTGCTAC